AATTTCCAAGGAAGGGAGGGAAAACACTGTCTTGCACTCTGTGAATGTTCTGAAGTTTTCTTGAAGCTTCAAGCTACAACTTTAATCAGAGCATGAATTAAAGCAGTTTCAACGTAAAAGCCTTACATTTAGGCCTGTTCTTCAGTTATATAACTAAATACAAAACTAGTAACAACAATTTATGCTCACACACACACACACACACACACACACAATCTAGGAAACAGGAGCAACCATTTCATTTTGAAGGCTGTTTCCTTAAAAACCCTCTTTAACATTTTCAGTTTCATGTTGTTCTGAGTTGACCTGGCTTCACAACTGTCTGTACTAGTTTATCCCTTCTCCTCAAACTCACCACATGAAACACACGAGTGGATTTTCTCTGGACTGTAACTTACGCAGCTAAAACATGTGTCTATGGACACACTCACACATACATAATAAAAGTTATTTAAAGTTCAGGCGTAGTAGGTAGAATTTACATTGTTTAGGTTTTGGAAAGGAGATAAGTACTTTTTCCTGACTGTAAGTTATGTATCAGTTAAGAACAAAGTATATATGTAACAAAAACCTGTCAGAAACATCAAGAGTAGTAGATAGAACTTCTATTGTTTAGGTTTTAGAAAGGGCAAAAGTCACAGCATTAACTCTTTAAAAAGCAGCAGTTTGGTGGGACTCACAAAAGCTTCCATTTTTCTTGTCTTCCAGCAAGTGGAGTAGCACAAAGCTGTGGTTTAAATAGAACTAGTCCTTTCTCCCTGGGCCTATGATAATCATCGGCCCGATGGAAGCAGTCTCTGAACATTCTACTTTGACTTAGCCACGATGGAGGTGGCCAGGCGCTGCACTGGAAACACAGCTATTGTATCGACTGGAAGACAGAGACACTAGAAAATGCTCTTTGTGAAAACAAGGTGCCAACTTTTCCAGTCATTTGTTTCTCTCATAAAATCACGGTGTTTGCTCCTGATAATTCACACAACCCTAGTTCCAGGCAGTCCTTCCTACAGAACTCTCCCAGGCCAGAGATGTGCTTACCATCTGTCCCTGCTCAACACCTGCAGAGGGTGGGTTACTCCCCCCCCAACAGTCCCTATTTCCCAAAAGCATCTTGTTCTGGATGACCAATTCCTTTGGGACTCTGGTCACGTCTGCCTACGTGCCTGTTGTGTATGCATACTCTTAGCTAATACTGTTCTACCTAACAGCAATGTCTTCCTGCAGTGGTCCATGGTGCACTATTAGGAACACAGAGCTCACAAACCCTCCCCTTCCCAGATCACAAATTCCATCTGCAAACTGTCCATAAGCTGTTACGATAGGGAGAATGCACACACTGGGGGGTCGTCAGGACCCCCGGTGGGATGACTGTGCCTTCAGCGGCCCTAGCTCAGATCCTGGTCTAAACGTGTCTGTGCATTGGAAGAGGCCTCTGGCTGGCACTGTGAGTGACCTTAGAGATGCAGTGTCTGTATCTGCAGTGGTGCCCAGGACACTCCCTGACTACTTACTGCTGCATCTAGAGAATGAAAAATACAGTCGTTCTTTTAACTCAAATCCACAGAAGTGCATAAAGATTAAGGATGATGGTGACCTCATGGAGAGATACTTACATGAATTTATCTGCCTTGGCCAAGAACAGGACCCAAGCAGATTTGGTTTTCTCTCACTCAAAGATCCCCTCAAACCTGCATCATCTACTCTACATCTATAGCTTCAGTGCAGACCTCTAAGGAAATGAGAAGCTTCTCCTTACAACTTTGCAGCCCAATTTTGTCCAGCATGTGAAAGAAAATACAAAGTTACAATAAAATTTTTCATTCTCAGCAGGGGAGGCTGTCTGGTCTTATCAGGTCCACAACCACAAAGACTTGGGTGGAGAGCTACCTGCATGCCACACATACCAACTGTTTCAGTCATCCTGTTAGAGAAATCCCAAGGCAAGACAGAGTCAATGACAATGACAATCCCATTTCCTCACAATCTTCTACTGGGATGAGGGGCTTCGGAAAGTTCATGGAAAAATGGAATTGAAAGATGGTGGGAAGGCTTTTCTAAAACTTTTCGAAGTCCCCTTGAATATTTGTTCTATAAGGAATTTATTGTAACTTTACCATAAATAACTCGAAGAAAATTTAAACAAAGAAGAAAAGGATGAGAGAAACAACAAAACAAGAAGAAAGGGGATGTTAGAAAGGTTTGTACCTTAGTCTCTTAATCTGGGTGATGATTACAGAAATACATTTATGTGTAAAAATCCACTGGCAGTACAATTGAGAGTTGACCATTTCACAGAGAACAATTTATATGTTCATTAAAAAAAATATATATATATAT